ATATATATATATATACACACACACATACATACATACATACATACATACATACATACATACATACATATATATATATATATATATACAGTATATTTTTACCTTGCATGTTCCCATTCCAAAGGACATTCTAGTTGATAACCAGTATATCCAAATTTATTCATCTGCTAACAAATGTTTTCTACTATTTTATTAAGACGAGTTAATAATTCTTCCATTGCAGGGATGAAAACACTTGGGTTGATGTGCATATTAGGAAGGTGCTGTCAGAATTTTCATAAAGACTCACAAATCACACTTTTATGAAAGGGCAAATTCAGGATTGCTCCTCATCCCATCAATATGCTACCATCTTATGTCTGTTTGATAGTTTGTAATTCTCAATTGGGCTAAACATTGCAACAAAGAACAACATTCTTTCAACTAATGTACCTCAGATGAACTAACTTTCAGAATTCATCCAAAATTTGGAACCTACGATTCCCATGGGATTGAAATTTGGCAAAGTTTAGACACTTTAGCACCATCCCCACCATCCAATTGCATTTCGCAGAAACCAGTGGCCGCATGGTGAAAGGGAAATGGGTCTCTTTCCTACCCTCTGTTCTATCTTCCTGTGATGCCTGTGTCTAAGTGGTTGGTAGCAAGGTGATTGTGAGTGGCCAATGTCCTTTGGACCTGCAGCTGAAATTTGAAATCTATTAATGGATGGTGAAGGGATGCGATGGCTCAGTGGCTAAGACACTGAGCTTGTCGATCAGGAAGATCAGCAGTTTGGTGGTTTAAACTGTGAGTGAGCTAAGTGAGCTCCCGTTACTTGTCCCAGCTGCCAGCCTAGCAGTTTGAAAGCATGTAAAAATGGAAGTAGGAAAAGTAACAGCGTTGTGGGAAAGTAACAGCGTTCCGTGCACCTTGGGCATTGTCATGCCGACCACATGACCACGGAGACATCTTCAGACAGCGCTGGCTCTTCAGCTTTGAAACGGACATGAGCACTGTCCCCTAGAGTCGGGAACGACTAGCACATATATGTGAGGGAAACCTTTACTTTAATGGTTGGTGAAGGAAGAATGAAGGAAACACTTGGATGTCTGCAAGAATAGGACTACTTGCGAGGTGTGGGCATTCGTGATTGATAGCTGAACTTTCTTCCTCATTGGAGGGAAGGACAAGCCAGAACCCATTTTCTTCCTCACCCTTTTCTCCGAGTATATTGGCAACCAGTTTCAAGTCGAGTACAAGAGTTGTGAGGGCAGAGGAAGCCAATATTATATGTGTGTGGGGGGGGGAACCCAATGGATCCCAGGTTGTCTACTGTAATTTAGTGCTCTGGCTTCCTTTTGTGGGACATTTCCAATAAAAAAAATGGGTTACAGTTATCTTATTTTCTAAGAATGCTTGTTTGGGCCACATATATTTTTTGGAATAAAGATGCTCTGGAGACAGGAACATTCTTTAGCCGTATGCTCTGATTTCATGTTTATTTATTTTGTTCATGTTTGTGAATTGGATGAATCTAAAACAACTAGAATGAACTGAGAGCCTAGTGTGTCCCAAAGAAGGGGTCTATGGGCACCTATTTCTTAGGTGTTTACTGAGCAAAGCTGCTTTCACCTGGATATTTGATGTATATTTATTTTGTTTTGGGGATACAACAGGTTCATATCTATATTTAAAGAATTAACTGAATTCTTCATACACAAATCAGAAGAACTCTTTTTTTTCTGTCCTGCAAAATCCTAACATGCAACCAAATGTTCATTAAATTATAATCTTCTTTCTGACCAGGCTAGGATTATGTTTGAAGGTGAAATGGCAAGTTTAAGAGAAATTCAGAAAACTAACACCGTACGGGTTCCTCAGCCAATTAAAGTGATGGATTTTCCTGGAGGTGGAGCCGCATTTGCTATGGAGTTCATAAAAATGAGAAGCCTCAACAAGTATGTAAAAGACTCCCTTTTAGGATGTTGCTTCTCTGAATTAACATCCCTCTTCTTTTCTTTTACAATGGCGTTCTGAAACTGCCTGCATGTTACTACCAGGAAACAGTGTCTCGCTGGGAGCAAAATAATTTCAGGGATCAGGATTTTCACATTTTTCTGGGGGAGAGGGGTGGTGGAAAGTTAAGTCTCCTGAAACTCCTATCAAGAGACAAGACTCTTAAGGATAGAATTTTTGTAATAACAGTAAACTTACACTGATTGCTTATGACTAATAACCTATTGATAGGGTAACCATAGGCTAATGTATTGTGCAGATATAGTTATTTTCTAAATTATATATGTGTGGGCATTCATGTGTATAAAATCTCTGTTCAGGCTGAATTGAAATCACATCGTCCATAATATCGGACTTTGTTTCTTCTCCTTCTAGATACTCAGCAAAACTTGGAGAACAAATGGCAGATCTTCACCTTTACAATAAAGAAAATGGAGAAAAGCTAAGGAAAAAAGAACAAACAATTGGTACAGTATAGTTGTTATGAACTAGGAGTTACTTATAATTAACAGATTTCAAGCACAATGTTAGCACTTAGCAATAGCATTTAGACTTATATACCACTTCACAGTGCTTTATAGCCCTCTCTAAGCGGTTTACAGAGTCTGCATATTGCCCCCAACAGTCTGGGTCCTCATTTTACCCACCCTGGAAGGATGGAAGGCTGAGTCAACCTTGAGCCTGGTGAGATTTGAACTGCCAAATTGCAGGCAGTTGATAGTCAGCAGAAATAGCCTGCAGTACTGCATTCTAACCACTGCGCCACTGCAGCTCTTAACTTAAATGGAAGTTGATGTAATTATTAGAGCTCATGGTTCCAAAGATATTGAAATATATACATATAATAAATTAATATTATGCCTCTCTTTTCTTTCTTCTTTATAATATTGCTATTTGCTTCTATTCTGTCAGAAAACTGACATTATTGATAAGAGCCGAAGTGGCGCAGTGGTTGACTCAGCCTTCCATCCTTCCGAGGTGGGTAAAATGAGGACCCGGATTGTTGGGGGCAATATGCTGACTCTGTAAACCGCTTAGAGAGGGCTGAAAGCCCTATGAAGCGGTATATAAGTCTAACTGCTATTGCTATTGCTATTCTGAAATTTTGTATATATGCAAAATGAACCTAGATGCCCGATTAGGCATAAGTCCAATGTATTTTATAGTACTTAAATCCAAGAATTTCAATTCTTCTGCTATATAGGTCCTATAGCACGTGTGCCTGTTCCTCTTCTGGGTTTCTGGCGCACATGTATGCACAACGATAAGATGGCATTTGTGCATGCAGCAGTGCCAGAAACTGGAAGAGCTAGTCTTCGGTTTCCTGGCTTGAGCATGTGTGCCAGCCAGCTGATCATCTGTGTGCATGTGTGCCAGAAACCCAGAAGAGAAACTGGCAAGCATGCACGTGCTGGAAACCGGAAATTGATTTTCCGACGCGTGCATGCCCCCTGGGCAACTCCTCTTCCAGGTTGCGGTCCAGATGAGCGTGCGTGCTCCCTTTTCGGCACTCAAGGTTCACCATCACCATCACTGATATAGGCAGTTCTCACTTACCAATAAAGGAGACTCAAAGTAGCTCAGAGTTGAAATGAGGGATCCTTGGTGCTCTCTGAGCTAGGTTGCTTTCTTGCAGATGTTCCATTACCCAAACTATGTAACATCATCCGTGCTAGTTGCTAGCCTTAGAATTGATGATATTACCTAGGTTGGAAAATGAAATGTCTGCAAAAAAGAACCAAGCTCAGAGAGCATCAAGGAGCCCTCCGTTCTCCCTTACCATCTAGTTGAGACTGGCAATTATGTTGCCAAGTGATGTGTTCATAAGTGTAACCTCACATGATTGCAGCTGCCTGATGACATCAGTTCATTAGTTCCTCCTATTAAGTGAATCATTGTGGGTTAAGTACAATGTCACATTATATTGATTTGCAAATGGATGGTGGTCACATTACATGTTGCAATTTTTGTAAACGTGTGCCAGTTTCCAAGTGCCCAAATTCAGATCTCATGAATTCAGGGACACCAGGAAGGCGGCAACATAGAGGACTGGTCATAACTCTCAATTTTTAGTGCTGTTGTAACCAGTGACGTGCGGTGAGGTTTATGGCTGGTGAGGCAGCAATTTTTTTAGACTTGTGGACTTCAACTCCCAGAATTCCACAGCCAGGCATGCTCAGTTCCGATTTAAAGCAAAATATTTTGCAAAATAAGTCCTATCCCTCTCTTCCTATCTTTCTTCTCTCCTTTCCCAACTCTTCCTCTCATTCACTTGGTGTATTTCAGCTTCTGAGCAAACTCCATTCTATGTTGATGGTATTTATGCTTCCATATCAATATACTTAACATATCTTAGTTTTAAAGAAAAAAATAAGAATATACATGCGCAATCATATTACATTAAAATCTAACCCCCCTTGTCAAGCCTAATATTCATCCTACCCTCCCCCCCCAGCCTTTCCTCCCCCAACTTCCCAGAACCCATAC